GACAGTGAATGAATAAGTCAATTGAAACAAAATCCACTGGCAGCGATGATCTTTACTATCAAAGTGCCTGGCGGCCATGTGCTCGGAGCATTTCATACATAGAGTTGACTCGATGTCAGCTGCAAATCCTTTGATAGGAGGCTTTGGTCCATGCCTTGTCCTTCACGCACTAGCCCAGGGTTCTTTTAGGGGATGTTCAGGGGCGGTTCTGTCTGATGCCGTGTGTAAGGTACCTAGGTGAGTGAGCGTCAAGGCAGCTAAAAGAAGGGCCGGCAAAGGGGGCGCCGTTCCTGGAACTATGACGGCAGATGAGTTGTCGCCTTCTTTTTTCGATCTGGCTTTTATTAATTGATTCAGAATAAAATGTCAATGCTCATCTTGAATCCACTGCTGACCAACACAAATGTCGTGTTTTGCACTGATTGAGATGAGATGAGTTGAATGATTTTCCAGACTTTGGCCAGTGCAGTTAGTGGGGTCTCTCCACAAACTGCGCTAAACTCCACCTGTGAAGATCTTGGGCTGGACGCCATCCTCTCTCTCACTTCTGGTCCAACAGATGACGACCAACCAATTACCAATATCACTCACCACTGTCTGATCTTTGACGTGCGTGGTTTTAATTCCTCATGCCCGGGACATGCAAGCATGGTTCCATTATCACTTCTGGGGGATCTTCAGCAGATGCTGGGATATTCTCAGTCTAAGCCAATGCAGCATCATCACTCGATCAAAACAGAACATCTCACTCACCTCTCCTCGTTTCTGTGATACCCTCGCTGTGCAGACTTGACACAAGATGCTGTGCTATCATACCTCTTTAGGCGAGAGCGCCGTGGCTTGAAACTTTGATCCTTCTCCCATGCTGTTGGCTTCAGGAGGCGCTGGGTAAATGTATGACTTGCTTACGTCGGCAACATGTCCGTTCTTCAGGGGTCTCCATATATTTTTTTTTGGCTCTCTTTCTTTTGCTGTAGGATCTACGGATACCACATCAGCAGCTGTGGAGCCCGAACTGGACTGGCCCGTCTTACAGATTTCTCATCCCCATGCATTCCCCGGGACATGGATAAGACATCGACTTTAGGCTTGTCCTTCTTCAGCTCAAGGGTTACAGGGGATCCTCGTCGAGTTCATAACTTGTCTATTGTACCCTCCCACACCCCATGTCATAAGCATAAGCGCCAACATCACCACCGACTGTCTTGCTCTGTCCGTGTTCCTCTTTGGGCATATGCATGCCATGCCATGCCCTCGCCTCTCAGTCTCTCCGCGAGCCATATTACATACAGATCTACTCCACCCTCCTTTACATACTTGCTAGCAGGTCTTCCTTTGTGCCGGGTTCTTGGTTAGACTAATTATCACTTACTTCTATCTTGCTTTTCCCCCTCGCCCCCCGCCATCATCATTTTGCTCGCCCTCCTCTTTGTTACGATTGTGTATGCAATAGTGATCTGCAGCAGTTTTCTTTATAAACCCAATCATCCCATCCCCCTTGGTCATTGCATAGTTTCCTCTCTGCTTGCCACGCTTTGGGATTGCACCTTTGGCCTGAATGTGCAATCATTGGTAGCATTGGTTGTTATTAGACACAAACCTCGAACGCTTTGGGACTTGACCGTTACGCTTATATCAACGCTCCTTCTATATCGAGGACACCAACCAACCAACCTTGGGCCGACAATAAAGCATTGGACTTGACTTGCGTCTCCCTCTTTTCATCCAACAACACTTCATCATAAATATTGAGTAGACCTGGGAGAATGGTGAACTATCGATAAAGCCGACTCTCCATTCCAATCACGGCTCGACGACGAGAACCACCAATTGCTTGGCCATTGCCACCAAGACCCTAGTTAACTACCGTCCATTCTCTCGAGTCTCGATACCTTCATCATGTCTTCCGCCGAACATCTCTCTAACTCGCAGCTCCGCGCTCTGAGTATCATTGAGCGGACATGCTCTGTCTTCTCATTGCTCGGCTCACTCTTTATTATCGCCACATTCTTGTCATCGAAGGCCTTTCATAAACCCATCAACCGACTGGTATTTTATGCTTCTTTTGGCAACATGATGACCAACGTCGGTACATTGATGTCAAGATCCTATATAGGCTCACCAAATTCCGTGGGCTGTCAATTCCAGGCCTTCCTCATCCAGATGTAGGCTCACTTACACCAAACCGATGCTCTTAGACACTAACTTGCGTTAGGTTCATGCCTGCCGATGCCTTCTGGACCTTGTCCATGGCCATCAATGTCTACCTGACATTTTATTTCAAGTTCGATGCTCGAAGATTACGGAAGATGGAGATTCCCTATCTCATCGGATGTTACGGTATCCCTTTCGTCCCAGCCTTCGTATACATCTTCATCAAGAACGAGGAGGGACACCGAATGTATGGTAATGCCACACTGTGGTGTTGGGTGAGTATGGAGTGGGATATCTGGCGTATCATCACTTTCTATGGACCTGTCTGGTAAGTAATTGTTCCCGTTGAATCTGGAGTGGGCGCTGACCATCACAGGGTTGTCATTGCCATTACCTTTTTTATCTACATCCGTGCTGGTAGCACCATCTATCGCAAGCGGCAGGAGCTTGATGATTTTAGCTCCACCGATCGAGATCTGACTTATGGGGCTGGAGATCATCTGGGAACTATTAAGACCACAGAAGTTTCAGTCACCACAGAGGTCGTTACTCCGAATGCGATTCATCTTCAGCCCATGGGGGGCCGTCGAGCACCCGACCCTAGTGACCCCAGCTCTAACGCATACTCGGTTCACATCTCAGCGCAGCCTAGCTCCGGGGATGTCGGGGATGAAGTTCTCCCTATTGAAAGACAACAAACACGGGCCAGTGTTCAAGTTCCTGCACAGCAGCAGCAGCAACGATCAGGAGGCAATCCTGCTCGAAGGAGGAATCGAGAACTCAGCAATGCAGCATGGCAATACACAAAGTGTGCCCTGCTGTTCTTCACAGCCATCTTGATCACATGGGTCCCATCAAGCGCCAACCGTGTGTACTCAGTATTCCACACCAAAAACTCATCTGTACCGCTTGAGTTCATGAGTGCCTTTGTGCTCCCTCTTCAGGGCTTTTGGAATGCCCTCATTTATATGGTTACATCTTGGAGTGCGTGCAAGAACTTGGCTACTGACCTACGTATGGGTCGAAGGCCGGATGTGACAGAACTCGTTGGCGGCATGGCACCAGAGGTCGGGGCCAATAACGCAAGGACAATGACCAGCCACCATCGACACAACCTCGGTCAGTTCCGACGATCGAATAAGTTCGAAACGGAAAGTATGACTGAACTGGCCAACGAGAGCCGGCCAACTTCAGACGATGAGCGGAGAGACAACGTGCGTGTATAACAGTTCTAAGGGTCTGCTTAGAAACGATGCTGCAGATATCCTTTTTCTTTTGTTACTATATATAATGAAGACACGACTTTGATGGTCAAGGCGTGCTCCAGACAGCTTTGGGGGAGTTTGTTGGGAGACATTTGTTGGTTTCACCAGCGTCGAAAGATGGAGGATAATGGATACCCCAGTATTGTTACAAATAGTATTTAAATGCTGCAAAGTCCGAGAGCCATTTGCGTGCTTTTACCGCAGATCGAACGTGTCTGCTTTGCCCATCTTGTGATACAGAACTGTGTTTCAAAAACTAATATCTGCCACGCGAATATGAATCAACCTTATTTTAAGCTTGATAATCAGTTGCTCAACACACGTGGCTGGAGTGTGACTCCATTGTGTCAAGAGCGGAACACGAGGTAAGGTAGAGCTAGTCTAGCACCTGCAAGGACAGGATGGCTTGAGATCCATGTCTCGACGACGCATTCCCGGTCGTCCAGAGGAAGCACTGACCGTTTGACCCTGGGACACACTCACGCAATCAGATTGACAGATGATGCGGAATCTGTGTGTTAAAAAGGACGATGGCGTCAAGGATGTGACATGGGCACCTAAGTTAAGGTCCCTTTGATATCGACAGTGGCTTGCCAAGGGTGGCCTCAAGGAGAAAGAAAGCCCTTGACAATAAATTAAGATGCTTACATAGACTGGTCCAGGGGCCCTCTGATATATGATAAACTTAACGGAGTCTTTTTGTCACTTAGAATAAAGGTCCTAAATTTTCCTGCCTCTCCCAAGAGTGGGTTTGTTGTCTCGACTTAGCCGTACTCTTGCTCTGTGATGTATGCATGTAGATTCTTGGTGGGGACATCGTATGATCTTGAAGTGTCAGGGATTGTGAAAAATGCGGGGGAGAGGTGGATGGGCTTTTGTAGTTTGCGGGGAAGATGAAGCCATCTACAGACTCGCCTGATGTGGCTCTCCAGGGTCCAATTGGGTTCCAGACATTTTTAGTTGAAAGAAAAGGGCGACAATTTGGTTACTTTGTGAAGACTTCAAATGCCATGTGATAATTCCGCCTTCTTCATTAATTTATTGCTCGGGATGCTTTGAAAACACCCGTAATATTTTCAGTTACCAGTTATGCTATCGAGGCGTCTTATCGAAATGATATCGCTATATCTGTTTATATTCGGCTATAGGAGAGAACAAATTCTAAGAAGCAGTTAGGATATCTATTTCAGATTTCTCGTCCAAGGAGGTACGAACCTGCCAATTCAAACTCGTCTGTCTCAAGCCTTAGATCAAGTTGCATTACTGTGTCTGAGACTTGGAAATTGTTACATAAAATGCCAACTCTCAGCCTCCCACCAGGCAAATCTCATTGTTCTTGTCTCAGTATGCCTTGGCTAAGTACGTTCGCTGGTCGAGGCTGTGAGTATGTACACCTGATTGGTCGTTGGTTGGTGGTTCGCCCAACCAAGTCGGCATTTTGAGCCTGATTTCCATTTTCCTTTTTTCCAAAGTTGAGATTACTTTGTTTCTTCCATATCGGGGTCTTATTTTCTCTGTAAAGCTTTCGAACCCGGCCTTAACCGAGTCGTCCTTGCGAACAAACACAATTTATCGCCCCCGATGGAGGTCCTTGGTGCCGTAGCCAGCTCTATCGCCGTGATGCAGGCTTTGGCAGCTGGGAAGCATGCCGTTTCTCTTTTTCGAGAAATTCCGGATATTCAGAAGGACTTTGACTATCTGATGAATGAGGTTGGTTCCGCACTTGCTGTCAACCTTTGCTATGGTCAGGACTAACATGCGGTTCTCAGCTGGACATGATCAAATCCATAGCGGAAGCTGTCTCGAAAATGGCCCCTACAGCAATGGAAAAAGACCTTATCACCACTGCAGCGCGAAACCTCCATGATATCACCGCAGAACTCGAGGCGTTATTACGGATATGTTCGCGCGAGAGTGGCCTAGATGGGAACAAAATGAGCAAGACAAGGAAGAGAAAGTGGCTTGTAGAGAAAAGTGACATCAAGAAGCTTCAACAGAGGATGTGCCAAGCCAAAGAAACTCTGCACTTTGCTCTGAACTCGTCGCGCGTATCCAGCGATATTAGGTAAGTGTACCACGTATAGAATCTAGCTCTGGCCCTCTGTATTGACAGGTGAGCAGATTTCAGGCAGAAATGAGACAGATAATGCTAAACATGTATACAATGTATACAAGCTCGCCAATCTCTTTGCAGCTACCAGAAGGAATAGAGAATCCAGCATCAGTTCAACAACTTCAGGACGCTCATACACCAGAGTCAGACGCAGTAGTTATCGGCGATGACCATGGTAACAATCTGGAACAAATGAATGAATCTGTACAGATACATTCTACGGTATCAACACAGAGAACATCATCGGGCTCCACATGCCAGTGCCGATGTCATTTCTCTGAGAGTCAATACCGAAGCTCTAGCTGGACACACTCACTCCTTGGGTCATGGCTTGTGCATTGTAATAGCTCGTCTCGAAAGAAATGTTCAGATCCAGGATGCTACTGTATAGTAAATACGGCCTTGAAAATGGAGTACCAAGTTCCGAAATGGTTTCTCATCAGGACATTCAAGATTTGTGCGTCTTATAGCAGCCTTTCTGGATTGACTTGCGCCCTACGCCCCTTTAGATCGATTGAAGAGGGCTCTGTGGTATGGACTAACCAAGAAGGATCGACCCATTTAGTCAGGAGAACAGTGGTTGCATATGGCGTTTACCCTCATGACACGGATATTTGTGGCATGGGACTCATAGAGGTTGGTCAATATCCCCCAAGTCGCCACTGAGTAGTCAGCGTGCGCTAACAGAAGCAGTATTCTCTTGACCAACGACTTTACTCTTCTTTAGAGGCTCTTCTAGATATATGGAAGAGTATCCTGACTGAGGTTGGGTTACCCAGGTCAGTTGTTAACTACGTTAATCGAACAAGGTTAGCTCAGTAATTAATTGATAGACGTGTGGCGATTACTGCCGCCTTAAGACTACGATACTCTAAGCTCAATGATAAGCAGGCTTACCTCATTCAAAAGGTTCTCGATCTCTGTCGGGATATTTCTGAAGTGACAACGACCAAGGTTCACGAGGCGATCTTGCAATGCGCAGATCTACAAGAAGCATTACAGGAGCAACCTTGGGCTATCAACACGATTGATGGCGCTGGCGAATCCCCTCTTCTTCTTGCAACCCAGAGAAACCAAATCAGGTCCATGGAAGTTCTCATTTCAGCAGGAGCTGATGTTAATCAACAATCGTACGATGGAAGGTCACCTCTCATGGTCGCAGCCGGGGAACAAAACGTCGAGTCTGTAAAGATGTTGCTCAAGTCAAAATCTAAGGTTGATCTGTGCAATGATGAAGGCGCGACAGCACTACATCACGCGTCTATGGAAGCTGAACCGGAGGTCATCAGCCTCTTGCTCGCGGCGGGAGCATCTGTAAAGCAGCGAGATGCCTTTGGAGACACGCCACTTCATTGGCTAGCCCAGTCTAAAAACACCAACCATCAAGACATCGAAGCAGCCATTGAGATGCTGCTCGTGGCAGGATCTGACCTTGAGGCACGAGGCTATCAAGGACGTACCCCTTTCCTTGTATCAATTGCTTTCAATAAATTGGAGGCTACCAGAGCTTTGGTAAATGCAGGTTGCTCTACCAATGTTTCTAATTGCGGTTCTCAGAACGTGCTGCATCTTGCAGCCAGAGAAGCTTCACTAGATTTACTTCGGTATCTTTCTATCTTGGACTTTTCCGGCGTCAACCCATATCTGCGAGACTCATACGGCGACACACCCTTTGATGATTTCGTCGAAACCTCTCATGCTACGGATGAATGGGCCTTGGTAGGAGCTCGTAAGCCTGGTCTCGCTGAGCAAGAAGCTTTTGTCGAGCTTTATCAAGACGTTAGAGATCAAGCCCTACAGAATGATATTCAGAATCTTGAGCGAGTGCTCGGCGCGTTGCAGCAACAGGACATTGTAGTCGCGCGAGAACATCTAGCCTTGTTGGTCAAAAAAGAGAAACGATGGGAGCGTGAAAATCTGGCTTCTTGGTATCGAGCTGTCGACAAGCGAATTCAGCACGCGGAATGGGATTTAGCAACAGAAGACGTAGAGGGTCATCTACTGGACTTGGAAGAAGAACTCGCAACTCCGGTTTGGGAGATCCCATCAAAACACGGCTACTTATAGGAACTCGATCATGGAGAATCAGTCAGTGAAGAGGGATCCGAAAACTCGGATGATTCTGACCAACAGGTCGTAGGTCAGGATGAAGCTCAAGCAGCCTGGGAACAAGGCTACTGGCAGGCATCCTTGGGTAAAAAGGCAAAACTTCAGAAAAGAGTGCATGGGGGCTCATGTAAAGATGTTACAACATTTATTCGATTCGAGCGCAGAAGAAGCGAGCAAGAGTTTCAGAATACGAAACACGGTCAAGGTTATCGGATACTAACCCATACAAATGCAATTTGACAGAGGATACCATGAGTTCTATCTTGAAGTGTTCTACCATTCGTCTTCTCATACAATCCCCTTACATATAGATCCTCTCACAGTTGCTCACTTGCTAATCTCAAAATAAGAAACTTGCTTCTATCTCTCTGAACAAATCCGACCATATACCTATCCTTGCGCTGTAGCCCTTTCTTTCCATAATGTGTCATCTTCCTCTAAAAAGGGCCCTTGCACTTTATTCTTTTCTTTTTCAAATAAAGCCCGAATAGGAGAAACTGTAGCGCAAAAGCACAAATCAGTAACGACTTTCATCTTTCCTGGATCCCTAGTGCTCCAAGTTCTAGAGGCCTTCTACCTCTTCTGGAATATCCTCTTGGCCTTGCTTGACGCCATCTATCATGTGGTATTCCCAAACTGTGCCCAGCTGGAGACATTCGTTAACGCAGCCTTCGTCTTCCCACCACCATTTATCCCCGGTGACGAAACTGCCCCAGACCTCCATCCACAGCAGACGACCGATGATGCTACGGACTTCTGCTTTCACTTCTCTCTCAGAAGGAATTCTATCTATGAAAGGATCGCTGTCATCGGCTTGACTCCGAATACTAGCTGATACTGCGTAGAACTTTGAGGTTGTGAGAGTGCTGCCTTGGCCGCGCAGACCAGCGTCGCCCATCCATTCTGGGAACAGTCTACTTGGGTTCGTGCACTTGAAGTGTCGCTCGAGGTTGATCAACAGATGCTCTTGAAGCCATGCTCGCATGCGATGTCCTAGTGTGCTTGCGCAGGGCAATGGGTCAATAAGAGTTAGCAGTAGGGAGCCACCGACTCTAAGACGGTTGCTGATGTTCTTGAGTACCCCTGGTATCTCAGGTGAAGAGCATACGGCGGGTAGCGAGAGCGAGTATACGATGGTGAATGAGTGCTGGTCAATTGGGAGTGTCGAGGGAGTCATGGACGGGACCAATACTGGGCGAATGTTGGGAAGCTCTTTGTTTTGGAAGGACGCTGTTGTCAGCGAGAATACTTCTCTCGTTGAGTGAAGAGCTGCAAGGTATGTCGCCGTGACTAAGGTTGTTAGCACTGCGCTACTTTGACAGTCACTGATTCACTCACTTTCAGACTCGTAGAGGGCCAGTACCCCAAGATCGTCAGACGTATTCGCGACAACGCAAGCAACACCAGCACTATCCCTCGCCTCAATGTCCAGATAGTGCAGGACAGAAAGCATCCATCGCTTCAGCTCAATGTTCAATTCGCCATGGAGCCTCTCGTCGGTGACGGTCCAGATCTCTTTGATACGCGCAAGAATCATACTGGGACTCGAAGCCGCCATAACCTTGACTTGATCCTTGATACTCTCGAAATCTGCGCACGGCTTCACTTGGACTGTCTCTTCTGCATCAACGGTCATCTCGACATCTTCTTGGTCCTCAAGCATTCGCGCCTCCTCTTCTGCTTGTCGGTCGATGTACTCCCATTCTTCCGGGGGACGCCATGAGTCGGGGTCGTTGGGTCGGAAGTTGATCACGATGGGAGCTTTCGGTTCTTTGGGAAGATTGAGACTGGGCACGAGACTGTTGGGTGACTCTGACTGGAGTATCGGGACGGGGAAGTTTCTGAAGAGGGTCAGTGGTGTTCTCTTTCTCCGTGAGTAATAAAGTTACCTATCTCCCATTGAACCCGCTGGCGTAGGAGGGTGGTCGCCTTCTAGCTCAGAGTAGCCGTGCACCTCTGAACAGGAGTCTGGGTTCTCCAAGTCAGACAGTCGAGGCTGTGAGACTTCGTTGCGCTTAGTAACGTGTGAAGACGAGGCATCAGTGGAAACCGGAGTGTTGGCTCTGAGTGCTCGCTCTACCCCAAGGGAAACATTCGACAAGTTTGCCATAAGTGCCGAGCGATGGTAGCTCCCCGAGTTGGAGCGTGAGGAGTGATGACTTGGAGTCAAAAGACCCGACGGAGTCTTCTCCTTGCCCTTTGCATGTTTGCCATTTCGAGGTCGGAGAAAGCCGAAACGAGATTCTGTGGAAGACCGAGTGCTTGTGACGGAGATTGAGCGGCTGAGGATGGAGTTCTCCTGTTCCTTTTCTCTCTCCTTGTTTTTCAGCTCGCGCTTGATCTCCTTTTTGGCGCGATGCTCGCCGACGAGTTCGCGATCGGGATCGACCCAGATGACGTCAAACATTGTGCTTGGATCTCTGTGATTTTATATCTTCTGTTGAGATTTTTTGCTAAGGTGGGCGATTTGTTTTGTTGTATATGAAATCGGAGTGAGTCGTGAGTAGGTCGAGTGATGAGTGTATCTATTCTAGGTTGAAAGAATGATTTACGAAGTAGAGTGCGTATAAGCTTCAAGAGGTTCGGAAACAAAAACCGGATACCTTTATCTTCTATTCTTGATGGCAAAGGAAATGGTGTTATGAGATGAATGTGTGTGTTTTCGGAGGAGTGGGGGTGGAGGCTGTGAGAAGTTGAGGGGTCAAGGCCTACGAAAGGTCGAGGACTTCAGAGAGTTACTATTACTAGCCTCTGATACAAGGTCAAAACGATGCTATAAGAGAGTCTAAACTGTTTTCAAGTAGGTATCAAGTGAAGTGTGCGGTTGACAGTTGCTGAGCACCCGCGTGTCAGTGTCAGGTGCACCAAGTGATTGGAAGTGTCAAACGAGAATGTCGGTCCCAGTTCGGAGAAAAAGAGCCAGCGGTTGGTTCTGGAGGCAGAAATGACGTGCGAGTTTGTTCACCTCCTGTAAGGAGTAATTCTGGGGTCCTGAATGGTCACTTATGCGCGTTTGGTAGACAGGACGATGATTAGGTAGGAGATCAAGTGTTAGGATGATCAGCTCAAGGTTTACTCATGTCCCTGATTCACTGGCCCAAAATAGCTCTAGAAGTATCCCTACTGCAGTTAATCACTGTGGATTTCTGGGTGGATGTGTGACAGCAGAAGTTGAGACGAGTTAGTATATGCAGCAAGTTGTCATTGAGGGCCTCACAGCCTGGTTAGAATGTCAGCATCAAGTCATGTGGGCAATGCCAAACGTCTCTGATTAAGATGAACATTTTCTCTGCCTGTATGTGATTGATATACTGGATGTCGACGGGTTTCACGAAAAGACCACATGACTTTCAGCCAGCTCTCTGTGCAAGTGAAAAGGGGCGACTTTCTGTGCATTAGATGTCGACCAATGGTCAGCAATACTGTTATACCTTAACTTAGGACGAAGAATCTGCGATTCGATATGGTGAAAAATATGTCTTTCTTATGTTTTCTCCTGTTCAAGTGTGATTATCCAACATATACACATGAGTGTACCCCCTCCGCCGAATAGTTCTCGGCCAGCATCCAACGTCCAAAGAACACCAGCAAGAGCCAGTTCATTTCGGCTACAGACATACCGGGCATTGTCCTACATCTGTATCAGCCAACCACGTCTTTTGTCACCATTCACACCCGACGCCTTCTCGCTTCGCGAACGTCGGCGAGCTGCATGTGGTGGGACGAACACCTGGTCTGTACGACACTGAACCCGTGTTCTTAGGGGTCGGTACCAGGAACTCAGTGGTGGAAACGGGATCCTTCTGGGTCATGATCTCATTGAAGAATACCTTTTTCTGGTGAATTCAGGGGTGGGATATGTGTGGTAGGTGAATCGACTCGGTCTTTTGACCATGTTCAAGTATCCAATGGCTCCTGTCGAGATGGATTTGATCTCATCTGTATCTTGGTTATCAGTTCAGTATAAATATTCATCCTCACAGGTTAAATTCCTTTCTCAATCACTGTTTATGCCAGACTTGCTAATAATGAGGCCCGTTTACCAGTATGTTCACTCATCACAACGCCTCAAACGCATCACCTTGACAATAAGCTCGGACAAAGAGCCAAGGCCCAAGTGCTAGGTCCAGCCCTCGAGCCAAGGTAACGAATATTACACAGACGGCCCGTGGAAACAATGCCCTCCCCTTTGACCAAGGCAAACATTCCCAACGCTGTGTACACATAAAGGTACCCAAAAACCACCCGCAGCCTTATAGATCTTGTTCAGTTTTGTTCCTGTTCTTTTTGGGCGTATGCTGTGTCTGTCTGTCTGTACGTGTGCGTGCGTGTGTGTGTGCGTGTGTGTGTGCATCTTGCGCAACTCGCAACTTGGACTCGAACTTCGAGTCTTGTGATGCATACCCGTTAATTCGGTAACAAGAGCTGGCGAGAGAGAGATGACTTATCTTATCGGGCTCAAGGTGTAGATACCGACTGACGTCGAAGTTGTTGGCAGTGCGAGACGACTGCCAGTGTCTGACAGTTGCAGTTCTGCTCTGGTGTTTCGTCCTCTTGACGCCAGAAACCAAGAGACTCTGTTTGCTTTTCTCTGATATAATCTGTCTAATCTTCTGCTTCTTCAACTTTGCCGCAAGACAGGATCTCTCTTCCTCATTTCTTCTGGTGTCACCTCCTCCTCTTCACAGCGTTTATCGACGCCACCATCAACCTCACTCCCTCCCTCTCTTTCTTGCGTTTCCTCTTCGCATAATCACACGCCTAATCAGTGCCCTCTATTCCTTTTATCTTCCAATTTTCCTCCACTCCATCTTCGCATCGTCAAAGCAAACACCACAAAACACACATTGCCTTCAAGATGGAAACCTCGCCAGGGCAGCCAGGTATTACGCCTATGCCCAACCAAGAAGATGTCAACATTGCTCAACATCTTGGCCGCTCTCGATACTTTGGTCTTCGTGACTTCTTTGATCGTGTTGACCACTATGCCACCACTTCAGCCTTTGGGTACTTCTTCACCCTCAGTGGTACTGGACACGTAAGATGCTCTCTCTGCCTGTACTGGTAATTGTCTGAGCTGATGACTTTCTAGCCTCAAGAGATTGCTGGAGCGACCTTCTTTCGAGAAGTTCGCGCTGGTATCACAACCTTTGCTACTATGGCATACATCATCGCTGTCAACGTATGAGTCCTCGATCCTCTTTTGCCGCAGTTCGGCCGGCTGACAATAGATAGGCTGCTCTGCTCGCTCAGTCTGGCGGTACTTGTGTATGTGACTTGACGGATCGACACGCATGTGACAAGATTGATTCATATGTTGCTTGCAAAGAGGGTGAGTAAAGACAGACAGACTCCCAACAATATGGGGAGATAGATGCTGACCATACAATAGACATTCGACGAGATATCGTCACTGCTACAGCTGCAGTCTCCGGCCTGGCAAGCTTCATGTTCGGCTTTCTTACCAACCTCCCTGTTGCCCTCGCGTAAGTCTCTCGCCTTCTCACACTATGATATGGTGCTGATCCCCAATAGCCCCGGTATGGGCCTCAATGCATACTTCACCTTTCAGGTTGTCGGATACAACGGAAGCGGCCCCATCTCTTACCGTCTCGCACTTACAGCTGTCTTCGTTGAGGGCCTTATCTTCATCTTCCTTGCTCTCACGGGTATGCGCCAGTGGCTTGTCAAGCTTATACCTTCTACCATCAAGACTGCCACGGGCGTTGGTATCGGCTTCTTCCTCACTGAAATCGGTCTCTCGTACTCTGCCGGTATTGGTGCTATTACCGGTGGTGGAAAGGCTACTCCTCTTGCGCTTGGGGGCTGCCCCCAGGAGCTGCTTGACGAGGTGACTGGCATGTGCACAGAAGGGCAGATGTCGAGCCCCAAGGTAAGTTGGCTGACCTCCTTTAAGAACCGTGCGCTTATTCAGGTAGTTATGGGTTGCTGTCTTTTGCGGCGGTATTGTCACTGCCTTTCTTATGGCGTTCCGCGTCAAGTACGCCCTCATCCTTGGCATTGCTCTCGTTTCTGTTCTGTCGTGGCCGTATGTCCTCCTCCTTTATCCCCTAATCTCACCTAACAATCTCACAGTCGCAACACTCCCATCACGTACTTCCCACACACTGACGAGGGAGACTCCCGTTTCGGCTTCTTCAGTCAAGTCGTTATGTGGCACCCGATTGAAAGAACTCTTAACCAGCTCGACTGGTCCTTTGGTGGTTCGGCATCTCAATTCGCCCTCGCTCTCTTTACCTTCCTTTACGTCGACATCATCGATGCTACCGCTACTCTCTACTCCATGGTTCGCTTCTGTGGTGTTGTGAACCCTCGCGACGGTGACTTTCCTCGCTCGACTCTTGCGTATTGCACAGACGCTTTCTTCATCTCCATCGGTGCTTTGTTGGGCAGCTCACCTGTTACCGCTTTCATCGAGAGTGGTGCTGGCATCGCTGAAGGTGGAAGAACTGGCTTGACTGCCATGACCACTGGACTATGCTTTACCGCTGCCGTGTTCTTTGCGCCTATCTTTGCATCTGTACCACCTTGGGCAACTGGTTGCACTTTAATTCTGGTCAGTTGTATTCCTTCTTTAGGTGTCGAATTGTAGCTAATAGGATGTGTAGGTCGGCTGTATGATGATCCGTCAAATCACCCAGATCAACTGGCGATACATCGGCGACGTTCTGCCCTCTTTCGTCGTCATGACATTCATCCCTTTCAGCTACAGTGTAGCCTATGGTCTTATCGCGTAAGTTGACCACCTTCTCCTTTACATACCTACTAATAGCCCTTAGCGGTGTTTTCGTCTACGCAGTCCTCAACGGTCTTGTCGGCATCGTTGTCTGGGTTACACGTGGCTATGTTGAGCCTCGCGAGTACGATCTCAAGGAGTACTGGACCTGGAAGGGTTCAGGCCGCCCTCCTTGGTTCATTCGCGCCATTCGCCACGGTCGAAATACTGGTGGGGAGAATGATGAAGACCAGCCAGGTGATTCTGGTCATGCCATGAGAGATCTTGACTACGACAACCGCCGCGAGAACAGCAGCTCCAGGACTGCCTCCAGCGGCAAAGGCGATCAGCCTATGTCACCCTCCAATGAACGGTGGGAGCGTTGACTGTATAACGTATGACTTTTGCGTATGACACTTTCTATTCTCTGTATCGATCAATTTCTGAGAGCTGGTGCCTCATTTTGGAATTGTGGGACAATGTTTGCTTCTGGATGATGACAGTTGAAAGGGTCAGTATCGCCCTCGGAGCAGTATATAGCCAGGCATGGGCGATACCAGAGAAAGGGGATGGAGGGGAACTGCCGATAGGGGGCAGGATACTGAAATGTCAAATATGATGTAGTAACGTATACAAGCAATTATAAGCCATGAATATCAGCGTGCTGCAAATGACAAACGGACTGTGTAGTGATACAACAGGAGATGTTGCTCTCTTTGTATGTCGTCTATCAAGAATCACCAGCTCTTAGTACTGTAGACCTGGTATCATGGAACGTCTGCCTAAATATAGTCATAGAACCTGGTATATCCATCTCCACCACGACCTTGATCAAGCATTTCAAGCTCCCATATCAACATCGCCGTCCCCGTCACCACCTCCAGCTCGACCTCTCATAGCCTGCTCTGCATTCTTCCTCCTTTCTAGGCTCTCCTTCACCCACTTCTCACAGGCAGCGTCACCACCCTCGGCGATCTTACTGCGCACAACGCCCTTCATCACCTCACCCGCAAAGCCCACAAAATTATGTCTGCGCAGAGCATTCTCAAACATCCAATCTCGTCGCTTGCGCTCTTCTCTTGCCAACAGCTCCTCATCCCCGAAGTCGCGCGCACGCTGTCGTAGATCTCGGCACATAGCCAGGAGATTAAATCGAATCTCGGTGGTGTCATACCGTGCAATGCGGCGTTGGAGAACATCGACTACCTTGGTGGGGAAGTCCTCAGAGCTGCAAGCACCGTGGGAGATGGGCGCCGGTTGCAAACCATCGAGCTCGTAGAGTGTACCGTTGATAGGTGTATAAGCGATAAAATGGAAAGCATCCTCCGCCTCGGCGCCAGTCTTGTCTGTCTCGTCGGCAAAAGGGCTGCTACGAGCAAAGCTGTTGTGCACCTCACGGATGAGGTCAGAGTTACTCAACGCCTCACCACGGAACTCGGGCGGCAACACCATGGTGAACTCTCTGAAGTCGCCGAGCTTCTCGCCTATTTCAACATCGTTCGTCTTATTGAGTAGTACACTCAGCAGAGCTTGCGTTGCGCATGCATTCTGAATCGTCTGGGCAGCAAAGAAGATGTTTTCGGATGCGGCATTGTCGAACGAGCCGTCGCGGGGTCCTTCGGGTGTCGCATACGGTTGATCAGTCGGGTACTTGAAGAGGAAGATCACGCCGTATACGGGCTGCAAGGACAGCAGCTCAGATGGGTCGAGTGTGAGGAGTTCTTCGAACTGAACGTCTTTCACGCCAAGATTCTCGATGAGAGAGGTAAAGACACCCTGACAGCTTCGAATTAGCTCTCCAAACTCAACGATTCGCCAGAATAATTCAAGCATACCGCATCGGACTCAACTATAGAGTTCAAGTCAGTATATCAGTCAAGATCATGCCCGCAGCAGAAACTAACTGGTATTCCATCCGCCACTCATTCTTGCAACAAGTTCAGCGTCTCCTGGCAACTCTAGCTAGAACTAGGGGTTATGAGCAAGGTAATTGAAGGAACGAGAATTAACACAGTCGCTTAAAGGTACGTAGTTCGATTGATAGAGTGTGGACGTTTCTCAGATGAATCAAGTTGT